ACACATCATGCTTCCAATGGGGAGGAGCCCATTCAGCTGAAGTACGAGATGTAGAGGCTCTTTGGGTGCTCAAGGCCATGGGAAAAAGACAGTTCCTGGAAATCTGGTTGGGCAAACACTCTGGAAATACATAAAATGAAAATGGTAGCTTTAATTTTTCTTTTGAGTAATTGAAAACGTATTAATTAAGCAAAAGAGAAGAAGGGAAGAGAGCAAATACCCAGCAAAACAAACTAGAGATTAATGAAATGGAAACGCAGCAACTCGGACAACAGCTCAGCGGAAGAGCACCACAATCACGAGCTAGAATTGGCAGCAAAACAAACCAATCCAACCAAAAACAAGATGCGAAGTTAACTGTCAGCAGAAAATGAAAAAAAATAATGTAAGGAACGGATGAAAAGAGGACGGATGGGATATACGAGGAGGGATGGGATATGCTTAGGAAAGGAAATAATGGAAGAGAGAGAGAGAGAAACAACGGGGTTTCTTTTTTGTTTCTTTTTTAGTTATTTTTTGGTGTCGGTGTGGTGAGTCTTTTCTTATGTCAATTGTAGAGTCTCCGATCGTAGAATCGGTTGGTCTTCTTTCTGACGTCAAATTGTAGGCTTTCAAGAGGAAAAAGCTAATTATTTCATTTTGACGTATCTGCCCTTTTATGATTAGAAAATACATTTTTTATAACTCTAATTCAAGGAAACGTACTACCAAAGTGAAATGACAAATATTTTCCACCAAAAAAGTGAAAGGAAATTTCAAGGAAATTTCTTTTCTCAACAAAGTGATCGGGTGCCAAGTGCTTTTAAATTTCCAAGCAAGTTCCCAACCTTTTTTTTTATGAGAAAATCCAGTTTTTTGTTATGCTTTTTCCAGTTTTGATATGAAAACATTTACACACGCAATTGTGTAGTTAGTTAATAGGGATTAATTTGTGAGTTAGGCCATGTTTAATGGTGTTGCTGATGAGCTCAGTTGAGCTTTGAGCAACTTTGGATTGAAGACATAACTGGGATTTGCTAATTAAGAAATGATCAAAACTTAAATTGGCTATTTGGTTTTCCTGTTTCTATGTTTTTGCACAATAATGAAATGAACTTTTCATCTAATTAATCTTTCTTTATAAAATAAAAAAATCAAAGCCGAGCGTCAATGCATTAAGAATGGTGCTTAACTTTCATCTCTCCTTTGCAAAATCCAAGTAATCCGAGTTGGGAGGGTCTTGCCCATGTTTGCTGACCCAAGTTAATTCAGGAAAGTTCAGATGAAAGACAGGGGGCTGTAGAAACCAAATAATGGGAGAGAGAGAGAGAGAATTATTTCTTTTTTGACCACACTGGAGACATCGTCAGATTCAACGGCTAAATCAATCAACATTGAGTTCCAACAGTAAGCAGATTCATTTCTTAAATTTATCTCCATATGGAGGGTGATGATTTATTTTTTAATGGTTTTGTTTTTTGTTTTTGTTTTTTTATGCAGGGTGTGATGTGGAAATTGTAGAAATGACGGGGCCTGAGGTGGGATTTGAATTTTCAATCATGTCATTGTCATGTATTGCACGATGAGTGGAAGTAGGTGTCTTGTATTCTAGTTATATAATTTTGGTTATTTGTCATTGTAACTTGTAAGATAATTTATAGATATGGAATAATTTGTTTTGTTCGACAATGTGTACAAAATTATGTAATTTTCATTTTTTATTATACGTTAAATATTTATTACTTTTTCTTAATTATATCTCGGTAATTTTCTGCTTGGTGCTGCGCTTTGGAAGCTACGAAACAGTCTTGTCAATTTGTCTTGTATGTTGGTGGGAATTAAATACCATCTTATGGCATGTTTACTTTTTTAAGAATAAGGTTTCATTCATAAACTAAAAGGCATACAAAGATCAACCCGTATTATACGCGAATAATAAATTTCAAAGATACTTTACACTTTAAAGGTTATTTGGATGAAGCGATTTCAACTCTAGAAGATATTATAACATTAAATTATTTGTTTAGACTATTAAATTATTGTACACTTATTGCTCACCTAACACTTTTTCTGAAAATCACCTCTCGCGAGACGAGGCCTAAGGTGGGATTTGAATTTTCAATCATGTCATTGTCATGTATGCATGATGAGTGGAAGTAGGTGCAGGAGATGGCGGAGAAAATTCATGTGTCTTGTATTCTAGTTATATATATTTTGATTATTGGTCATTGTAACTTGTAAGTTAATTTATAGAAAATTCATGGAATAATTTGTTTTGTTCGACAATGTGTACAAAATTATGTCATTTTCATTTTCTATTATACGTTAAATATTTATTACTTTTCCTTAATTATATCTCAGAAATTTCCTGCTTGGTGCTGCGCTTTGGAAGCTACGAAACAGTCTTG